CTGTAAAACAGCTTCGTCACCTGGCACTTAGTCTATGTCTTCTGGAGTGGAGCGCCGCAAGCATAGGACATTTGAGACTCCCTCAAATTAACCCTCAAGTGGAACTTCGACCTCCATCCGGCTTTTTTGTCGGCTTTGGTTGAGGGTTGCCTTCACGAAGGCATATACAACTCCAATAGGAGTGACTGACAGTGTGGCATGCGAGATCTGTGGCACCGAAAAAGACCATCGATTATCTTCTATGCCGTTGCGCTCGATTCGCCTCTGAGAGACTAAAACTTTCTGGCGCGTTGCGATGATTCGGCGATCGGCCATGCTCCGTGAAGATGCTGCTGGAGGACCATCCTCCTCTTTCGTCGGCTCACACGGCAGTCGAAGCCCTTTAGCGCTTTTTGAAAACTACGGGCCTATGTGAACTACTTTGACTTTTTTAGAGTGCCACAGCTTCATACGCGTCAGCCTATTTACTGAATTTTCTTGCCTCTTTTCCTTCTATATCCTCTTGCCCCGCCGCGGTGGTCTAGTGGCTAAGGTACTCGGCTGCTGACCCGCAGGTTGCGGGTTCAAATCCCGGCTGCGGCGGCTGCATTTTCGATGGAGGCGGAAATGTTGTAGGCCCGTGTGCTCAGATTTGGGTGCACGTTAAAGAACCCCAGGTGGTCGAAATTTCCGGAGCCCTCCACTACGGTGTCTCTCATAATCATATGGTGGTTTTGGGACGTTAAACCCCACATATCAATCATCAAATCTATATCCTCTCTCTCACTCTGATATTTACACTACCCAATCCTCCAGCATAAGGTAACCAACTCAGCATGTACCTGGTTAACGTCCCTGGCTTTTCTCTTGTTGTTCTTCCTTCCCTTCTTCTATTGTCTGATAGTTCTCATTCATATTGGGCCTAACAAAAAAAGAGCCCTTGAAATTTTCATTTCTTTACTTCGTACAACGCACCAAGATATGGTGCAACGACTTTACCACCTGTACAATAATTTTTTTTTGTTTTTGTAGTGAGTAACAAAGGATGATGCCTTGTATCTTAGAAATAATTGATTGATTTGTGGGGTTTAACGTCCCAAAGCCACCATATAATTATGAGAGACGCCGTAGTGGAGGGCTCCGGAAATTTTGACCACCTGGGGGCATCTTAGAAATAGACAAGCCACGTTACTTATATGACAATCTATAGGTTGGTCTGGGTCGCTTAGCGGCACTCTATTCGCGTATCGCGGTATCCGTGTTTAGATCCGGTAGCGTGCAGCTGGAGCCAATCGCAGAGGCCATGCTTACAACGACAAAATTTATGCGCGATACGCGTGAGCGTGTACAGATTTTACAGAGTGAACGTTTTGCATATCTTCCACAGCGTCGCACCTCATGTATGAAACGGAGTATGATAGAGCGGAAGAAGTGTACTCGATAGAAGGGAGGCATTGGCGTAGCCAGCTTGGTGGGGGTCTTTTAAACATTTTCACTTCCCTGCCAAATTTTCTCAATTTTCAATGTATATGTTCATAAATTATGCACGCACACATACAAACACGTGTATGAACTACGGAGATACATAAAGGTTGGTTGAGCACCCCTTCCTTCCTTCCCACTGGTGCACTAAATTCACTCTATATGCCTCTGCAAGGAGGTGTGGGAAGGGGGGGGGGGGGTTGGAGGCTGTGTTCGCTTGCTGCAAAATGCATTCATAGGCGTCACGTGCGCCTCACCGCGCACGTTATCTGCGGCTGAGGCAAGAAGTACACGGTTTACCTGTCCGAAAGCCTTGAGTCGGAGCAAGGTTGGTTGGAGGCCGAACGATATCTACGCTTCGTGGACTGGATGAAGGCTGTAGTGGCAGGCGATCCTAGTTGCTTCCTTATCTCTGAGTTCACCGTCACTCTAGCGTTGTAATAGTGTGTGCTTGCACTCATCAGTCGAGGTCTATTCATGTTTGCCTATACACCTGCGACACCATGCTTGTTTGTCTAATTAGTGAATTATAGCTTACTGCGATGCATATTACCAATTGTTCACCATATTACGTAGTTCACTGCGGGTATAAGAACTTTAGGCTTAGTTCGTTGTTATAAATTTGAATGCTTCGTCTTTCGAGGGACAATGAGACTTCAACAACATCCGAAATGTTTCATTCACCACAGACCGCATAATGATTTTTATAGGATTTGAATGTTAATCTAGGGGAGCTTATATCTGCCCACATAATGCTTGGCTGCTTAACACCAGGATCCGACATAAATTACTGGCCGTAATTGATGTCGGCTCGCCCAATGCAAAAGAATATTCAAACTAAGCCAGCACCCTAACGTTAACGCTTTAAAAATAGTTATCATTATTGAGATGTTTCTAACGCTATTCACATCTCGGATTACTTTCATACCTCGTTTTCTGAATCCAGTCAACAAGAGAGAGAGAGATAAAGATGCAAGGAAAGGTAGGTAGGTTAACCAGATGCACATCTGGTTTGCTACCCTGCACTAGAGAAGGGTGAAGGGGAGAACAGTCAACAAAGTTATTGGCATTCCAATACCCTAACCACCTAATCACTGCGAGAGATCAAAATTTGGGAGATTTATCCAAGATTTTTACACCAAAATATTTTCATTGACTACACCCATGAGCTGGTTTGCAAACATAATAGTAAAACATTTGCGCAGAGTACGTATTTATCGCACTTCTCGCAAAATAATATGAAAACAGACTCCTAGGAGGTCGCATAATTGCTAAAATATTAGAAGAAAGATGTGCATGCTTATTTTATCGTTTTGGTAGAACATCAGTGCCTGGACACCATATCCCAATATCTGATGAAGGGTTGTCATTCGCTGCGCCATAAAATTTTAATGAGCAAAGGTTCCAGTGAGTGGTTTGAAAGAAAGAAAGGAGAAAAGAAAAGGGAAGGGCATCTTCCTTTTTGAATGACTTGAGTCTGCATAAACAAAGTCGGAATGCCGTTGGATCGCAGTTCCGTTATATCGACCCATTAACGTGTGCATCAAGTGCACCATAAGGTGCGGTGACAGCGTAAGGAATAGTTGATTGGGGGAGCAATAAAACTCAACCAGCTGGAGGGATCGGGACGCGAGTTGTTTGAGCGATCTAAAAGGTGGGCAAATCTAAATGCTCTGAAGCGTTTTTATTAACTGTATATGCAGAAGTCTGAAGCATTTGCCTAATATTTGACGGACAGTTTTGCCAAGTCTGATCTAAACAATGTGTTATTTTTGGGTACCGTCAAGTGTATCCGTTTGTTTACTATTCTTTCTGCTCTTTGCCTCTTCATGTTCTCTCATTTTTGCTCTCAGGGTATCAGACTAAAGGAGCCCACCATTATTTCCAGCCAATCTCACTACGACGAAATTCATAAATGAATACACATTGCTGTTAATATATATGAAGCTCTTGTTTTCACTAGAACTGCTTATGTTTCTCTCCCATTAGATTCTAATCGAGTCCCGACTGCGGCGGCTGCATTTTTAATGGAGGCAAAAATGCTGTAGGCCTGTGTGCTCTGATTTGAGTGCATGGCAAAGAACCCCATGTGGTATAAATTTCCGGAGCCCTCCGATTTGGCGTCTCTCATCATGATATGGTGGTTTTGTAACGTTAAAGGGACACTAAAGTCAAATAACAATTTACATCAGAGTGAAAGCTTAATGTTTAATATCATCTAAAACGACAATATTATCAAAATCAGCACCCTACTTACCAATAAATCAAGGTGATTGCACAAGAATACATGCGCCGCAATAGGACATCCTAAAAATCATACCAATGACGTTAGACGAAACGCCTACACATTATCATTAGTAATCTATCCAGCTGCACTAAATAAAGAACCTTCCGTGCATCAAGAGACGCAATAAAATGCTGCTTGTTCGTTTCTGTATGATTCGTGGAAAAAATAACTACCGGACGTTACTATTGGGATTGGCATGAGTGGTTAAAAAATTCAATTTTTGCGTGGCACATTGGACAGTTCATGCCACCTAGTGGAACGCAGTTGAACGAAAACACGTCTGCCATCTCGGAGCCAGTGGCAGGAACTTGCTCAATGACCATTGTTGCTGCCCCGCCGCGGTGGTCTAGTGGCTAAGGTACTCGGCTGCTGACCCGATGGGCGCGGGTTCGAATCCCGGCTGCGGCGGCTGCATTTCCGATGGAGGCGGAAATGTTGTAGGCCCGTGTGCTCAGATTTGGGAGCACGTTAAAGAACCCCAGGTGGTCTAAATTTCCGGAGCCCTCCACTACGGCGTCTCTCATAATCATGTAGTGGTTTTGGGACGTTAAACCCCACATATCAATCAACCATTGTTGCTGCTGTGGCTCCCACTGATTTCGTCCTGTCTACTAGTGTCGCCGACCGCGAAGTAAAGTCGGGCAACTTTGTGCACGGCAACAGTGACGTGAGTTGGTCCGCTTCATGAGGTGGGTAATTTGAAGTCTGCTAACCCGATGCGATCCTCTAAGACATGATTTTATTTCAAAATAAGGTCTTCATTGGCACAAAAGTACCACTACAAGGCTTCTGGACCACTATTTCAACAATCAACGCCGACTTAATACTTGCCATTAGCGTCCCTTCAAACCCCACATATTACTACATTATCTTCCATATTATTTTACGTTTGGCAGCAATATCAAACGATCGTGATTTGGGCAGGTTATCAAGTGCAATATTCAACGTTTGTGAATGAATGCTGAAACAAATATTTTATTGGGGTAACATTACGCAAAATCTAATATTACACGATGGTCTAGGCTTCTTCGTGGATGACGTGCGCTGGAGCACTGGCTTACCTTTTCTTGCTCCTTCCACGACAGCTGGGGTGTTTGCACACGCGTTTAAGCAATAGTGCTAAAACTCACACCTCCAAAAAAAAACATATTTATTGGGATGTAATTGTCTTCACACGTGCAAAAATATCTACGTGACAACATTGGTATACTGAACTCACTTCTATTTTTTATCATAATACAACGTTTTTTTTTATTTCCTTAACCCTATGGAATACTGACATTTCTAGGGCGGCCAACAAGTAGTAATTCGCCAATAACCCAGAACAATTCGTTATCAAATGATATAAAGCAATTCATTCATTTTGGAATCAAAGTTTCATTAAAGTGAGAAGTGCGTCAAGAAATTCGCACGGCACTTCTGGCGTGTAGATTGTGACAGTTTCTGCCCACTTTCACGCATTTTTTTTTTCACTTTGAGTCTCCCAATTTAAGAAGTATACTGGTGCTCTTGACAGTTACGAAAACTGCATACTGACCAAGACATTGCAAGTTTTAGCAAAGCGCCATAGTTATCCCTGAAACACGTCGGGATTTAATCGATGTCGTAAGGAAGATGGAATGATGATCTAGACAAGGCGTCTGCCTGGCTGCATTGTCACTGTAGCAGGACAGAAAAGAAATGTAGAGCGAGGAATCAGAGGAGGGCCAATATCTTTACGGACACACTGGGGTGACAATATACTTTCAAACATAAAACTATGTTTGCGTGATGGGAGTGTACGATGACAATGACAAAGGATGCATCGAAGCTGCTTCCTCTACTCCTCCTTGAGTGTCGTGGTCGGATCTGGCTCTTGTGTAGTTGATGGTGCCGTGACCGTTACTTCTTGGACTTCGGATGCAGCCGCACTACGCCCCAGACCCCTGGCCGGAGTCCTACCCTGTGGTGCAGCAGAAGGAGCCCTCAGGGGACCGCCCGGACCAGCAGCAGCAGGCGCCCTGAGAGGACCACCCGGACTAGCAGCAGCAGGCGCCCTGAGGGTGCCGCTCGAACCAGACGCAGGTCCGGCCGGTCCTTGGATGGGACCGGCTGTCAGTGCAGCGGCCGCCGCGTTTGCCCTGAACGTCGGCACCAGCGGCACTGCGCGCTGAATGTCGTTGTCGCTCAAGAACTCAGCGGTGGGGTCCCCGATGTTTGCGTTCAGGTAGTAAAAGTCCTTGGCATTTTGACAGGGTACCGAGTCCTCCTCGTATGCGCAGGTGAGGCTGAACTGGTTGAACATGGTTTGGTTGCCACACAGGAAGCTGAAGTGCTGCATCTCATGGCCGGGAGCACCCCCCGAGCCCAGAACATCATGGCAAATGTGAAACACCTTGCAGTCGTTGTCCATGTCCGCGTAGTAGCCATCGCCGGGGCACTTGAACGTCGTTTTGACGCTGCCCAGGAGGAGCTCCGCGCCATCAGGCAGCAGGTACGCCTCGCGGCGACGCTGCAAGCATCAACAACTCGACTGAAAAAGACCTGCTTTACCAGTACCTTCTCAACAGACTTGTGGAGGGCGGTCACAAGACACGACCGCAGTGCAGTTGAATTTACGTCGCAAAACATACCAAATGATTACAAGGCACGTCATAATGGACGGCTCCTAAAATTTTGATCATAGCGTGTTCTTTACCGTGAACCTGTATCTAAGCATGCTGCATGCCTTCTATAGCATTTGTTTCTGTGGAAATGCGGCCACCACGGCCTGAATCTTCTAAACAGAGATTAAAATCCGTACTCAGGAGTTCATTATATGCAAATCAAATTTCCGCCCTCCTTTCCTAAATTTCAGATGTTCGCTCTACGAATGTGCCAGTATTTTCAAGAAATTCTGATATATTTTGCTTCTTTTATTTCTCTACTTATAAAGTTCGGAAAAATAAGTTGAAAGAAATAAATGAACAATAAGGTAGAATGGTCTGCGATATGCTACATGGCAATAATGAAGAACACAAAGACATTGAAAATTGCTTGAGGCAGGGAGAAAAAAAGACTTAAAAAGTGCACGTCCACCTTACACGACGAGGCATCGTTGAACGGAAACATCAGACGTTTGACTACGCGCAGCAAATAAAATTTTCGTTCAGTTACCCGCAGTCACTGCAGCTTACGGTATTGCGGGATATTGAGTGGTCTAAACATTATTAATATGTGGTATTTTATTGACCTAATGCCACTATATGTGATTATGTGAGACGCTGTAGTAGAGGGCTCCGAAAGCTTCGACCACATGGGGTTCTTTAACGTGCAACCAAATCTGAGCACGCGGGCCTATGGCATTTTCGCATCGAAAATCCTGCCGCCGCAGCTGGGATTCGATCCCGCGACCTGCGCATCAGCAACCGAGTACCGTAGCCACTAGACTACCACAGCGGTGCGTGTAAACATTATGAAGCACAGTAATGTTGCTTACCCTTACACCAGGGTGCGCCGACGCAACGCTGAGTAGCGCTGCAAAAGGTCCACAAAAAGAAAAAGTAAGGTGTGTGATACGGAAAAACCAGGTACTGTACTTACTCAGTACAAAACCTCAAACATAATTATTGTAGCTCAGCGGTAGCTTCAGCATGCCCATTTCACCATGACCAATGTTTGCATTACATTTGAAACCAGAACGCGTTACACGTAGTTTTTTCGGCATGCGACGTAGAACAGACGCGTTGACGCCGAGCTGTAGTATTATCAAGAGAAACAAGTTAAATATCGTACATACAATGAAAAAAAGATACTTGGGACGTATAGCACAAGAACACTTTTTGGGGAAGAGGAAACTCTCAGAAGTGCAAGCTATTCGCAGAATAAATGAAGGTGTACGCTAAACTGATGAACGAAATTTCGCCAAGTTTCTCCCAAGCATACGGCGTTTCATGCTAATTTTCCGGCAGTGTTATTAGCCGCGAATACTCTTGGAAATATTACGGAGGTAAGCCGGAAATTCGTATTCATAACTGAGATATCTTCGGCTTCTTTAGTGCTTGCCCGATTAAAAAAAAAGTTGTGGTCAATGCGAGTCGTAAGTTTCCAAGTTTCTTGTCTGATCGATAGTATAATATATCAGCCACCTTCTAAACATTGCGACTGCGTGAACACATAGGAAATTATTATCATAGAATTCCAGACAATATGCATGTTCACTGTGACCTGATAATAAAACTGTTGGTCACCTGGTAGCTTCTGTTGCTTTCGGCCCATTCGATAGGTCGTATACATAATAACAGGGAAAACCGACCATCACTTTGCAATAACTGAACTATTCATTCTGAACCCCTGCTTTCTTAAAGTTGCAATCGTACGTCTCGCCCGATTCGGGCTACTGTTCCCTCACTGCGGGCTGCTGCAAAATGCAGCAAAGCGTGAGGACTTGCAAGCGTTTATTCTTTTTCCTTTCTTTTTAAGGATAAGACAGTTTAGAACATGTGGGAGTCTCCTTGTGCGGCTGAAATAACTTCACTCGCGTTAAGAGAGAGAGAGAGAGAATGTAGGAAAAACGGAAATAATAACTAGATTGTAACCAGTTTGTTACCCTTTATGTGAGGAGAGGAATGTGAGGATAAGAGGAAGAAAGAGAAAGCATGCGTCCACGCACTTCACAATATAAGAAGCAATGCAGCTGTCTGCGGCGAACACTCAATAGGCATTACACTAAGCAAAACAGAACTATTAAGAAGTATAAATTTTATGAAATATAAAGCAGTAATATCACTTACCAATGATCAGAACAAATTTCATGGTGCTTTTGGCTTTTGCACAGTAGTTTCTGTCTATAATGAAAGCAAAAAATAACATTACCATAAATAAATTATTAAATAAATATTCGCTGGTGGGAGCGGATGCTATCAGAACCATAATATTGGTTCTGCTCATTTAGGAGATAGTTTATTTTAAATGGAGGTTACTGAGCTCGAATGTTTCTCCTTTCAAATTGTTACATTTCAAAGTATCCGGCGGCAGAAGTTATGCAGCCATCGTTGGAAAAATCCCAGAATTGGTGCTTCTAGACAATGTTATAGACGTAAGGAATCTAAGCGAGGGGAAACGGTTTCCAGAGTGGCATAACCGCAAGAACATTGAAAGAGCAGTAGACACAATAGTGTGCCTAAGCTTTATTATTAAACAATGCAGACGAGATGGAATGGTTAGAAAAGCTATTTTTATTAGATTTTCGGGCTTCGAAAGTGTCACCAATACGTAAGTCGCACCTGATTTATCGTTCCATGCCTTGCTAGTTTGAAAAATCTCAAGTGTTTCTTTTTGTTGTTGTTTGGCGGGGAAAACAAATAAAACAGTGCCTGACAATTCCGTACAGATTGTTAACCAACGAATCTGAACCGTGAAGCCACGGTGCTTTATCGTTATCATCATCCCCAGCCTGACTACGCCCACTGCAGGACAAAGGCCTCTCCCATGTTCCGCCTGTCAACTCGGTTCTGTGCTTGCTGCTGCCACCTCATACCCGCGAAATTCATAATCTCATCTGCCTATCTAAGTTTCTGTCCCCCCTCACCCGCTTGCCTTCTCTGAAAATTCAGTAAGTAAACCCTTTATGACCAGCAGTCATCCTGCCTACGCGCTACGTGCCCGGCCCATCTTTATTTATTCTTGTTAATTTCAAACATTATATCCTTAACCCACTATGCTCACTTCCTGTCTCTTAAGCATACACCTATAATTTTTCTTTCCATCGTACGCATCTTTCACTGCGTTGTCCTCAAGAAAATGAAAGTAATGTGCAACAACCTCGGAAGAGAACAGCGCTATAGGCAGTAGTGCACTTGAAGTTGTAAAAGAGTACGTCTACTTGGCACAGGTAGTGACTCTGAGGCCAAACCACGAGGTTGAAGTAACTAGAATAAGAATGGGGAGGAGCACGTTCGGCAAGCGTTCTCAAATCATGACTGGTAGATTGCCACTATTTCTCAAGAGGAAGGTACCTCTGCGTCTTGCCGGTACTTACACCTATACAAAGCAGAACCCTCGAGGCTTACAAAAAGGGTTCAGCCATGGTGCTTATTGCTGGGTTAACCGGCGGGTCAGTATATTCTTTCTTAATTACATCTGTTGTCAAATGGTGCATGACGCCTGAGTGTTACATTATTTTCCAACTCAAAAGAAGAATACTGTACGGCATAAAATATTTACGTCATTACCCCGAGGGACGCGTCACACGTAAACGAACATGTTGAAATCGGGCATAAAATCTAATGAAGATCAGTGGAATAGTCCTTGTATCCGCTCTTCTAGGTGAATAGGGCATTTTGTAGAGGACCGCCGGTGAGAGGTGAGATAAGCCCGACATCTGTGGCACATGCTCATTTAATATAATACTTTCTTGCACACATTGGACTGCCATATTTCCCTTTGTCTAGCCATGTAAACCTTGGCTTTATATTTTCCTTCTTTTTTCCCGAGCGCATGCGTCTGTAGCTGCCGAAGAATTTACTCAAATACTTAAAAGATATCTTGTCTAAGATATTCGGCGTGCGCACCCCATCGTCGCGGAAAACAGGATGCCCCTTCGACGACGAGTCTGAAAAGTGCGCTCTTCGTCAGTCGTGTTTACGCATCGGCGGCTTCCTGCTCGGGTTAAGCCGGCAGCCGGCTTCCCAAGAAGTGCTTCAACGCGTGTGCCCCAACCGACACCTGTCGGCCGCAGCGTGAATGCTGGGCGGCCGCCTTCTCCGGTTGCAAACGCGACGCTTTCGAAGGCGCCGTCGGCAAAAGGAGACGTCTTCGAAATGCTCGCCCATTCTTCATGATCGATCGCGCGCTGAGAACGCCGAGGACACGCGTAAGACTCCAACTACTTTTGCTCGAGGTAGCCTGATCTGTAGACGGAAGCTGACGTAAGAGGCGCACCGCCGGCCGAGTCGAAAAGCCGCCGAGGCTTCCACCTCCGGAGGCAACAATGAAACAAGATGTCATTACGTCACTGCGACCTGCCGGAAATCCCCTTTGCCTCAGGGGCCGCACCGTACACGACGGGCGAAAATTGCGCCCGTCTCTTGTCAACGCCCTGGAATGCAGCCACGTTGAGCTCTGTGGTCCAGCGCGATTTGTTTTTAGTTTTGTTACATTATTGGTCTGCAGCATTTAACCTGAACAGCTCCTAGCGACAAGGCGTTGTGTCACTGTCGAAGATTTCGCCCCTCTATTCGCCTCTCTTATCACTGAGATTGGCTACCACCTCCGAGATAACGTTAATTATTTATGAGGTTTTATTCCTCAAAAATGAACTTTGTGCTCTCTCACTTCCTCTGTCACTCTCGCAAATAACTGAGAACTAACAATGACCACATAGTATCTAATAGCGTAGCGCGTAGAAACTATAAGGCACAAGACAAAGACATGGTCAAAGAGAAGCGCTATTAAAGCGCTCCTCTTTGTCCCTTTCCTTATCCTCTGTCTTAATGTTTTTACGCGCTACGTTATTAGTTATGTATTACCAACACGCTGAACTTCATACTCTTGTCGACCACATAGTATGATGAACAAAGCAGTCAGTTTTTTCTCTCTTTCTTATTCGTGTGCGTGTGCTTGGCTACTGTCAGAATGCGGTCACCGAAGTTGGGACTCAAGCCAGCGCACTTGTGCTCAACATCAGCACGCCTCATTTTCCAAGATACCGCGCCGCATAAAGACCATGACCCGTAGTGAACTCGAAAAAGCTATTCTTCCGGCATGTCTATGCATACTTTCATAAGCTCATTAGGTATGTTTGCCTTCACGACTACACTGGGTGTCTTTTTTTTTATCCACGGAAATGCATCGTTATATCTCACTTTTTTTGTTGTTTAAAGGAAAACTACGAATACTTGAGGTTGCTCATTTTCTATTTCAACAAAGCTGTCATTTGTTGTCCTAGGTTGATAACCACATCATCGCACTGCTGAGCACCTTTATGTGGGGAAGAAATACGAAAATGTCCATGTAGTCAGAACTTTGTGCACATTGAAGAGCCCCATGTGGTAAAAAAAAATGTAGAATTCCTCCATGACACGCCCCAATATTACATGGTTGTTTTGATACGTAAAAATGCAAAATTTAAGTTAGATGTAAGTTACCGTTCTTCTCATGTTGATCTCTTATGTCATCACAAGCCGCGTGGTCATGTTAGCGCAATCCCAGTTTTACGTTCTGTAAAGTTGGCTTACTATCTCCGTACCTTAGCCCCCTTACGTCATTATTGTTTTTCTAAAGCAACGTCTATCTTCAGCTATTTTCTCACCACATGACGTATTTACGAAAATGACCAACAAAGACGACATCGTCGAATACAAGCTCTTTTTTTTTTTCCTTTGTGATCACCACTATATGCGGGCGCTCTGTGAAAGTACTGTTGTCGAAATAAATGGCTCCAGATCAGGGAAAATGGTCAAATATGTTCTCTCTATATATAAAAAAAGCGTCTGTGGGACATATTTGAATGGGTATTGTTATCTCATCATCAAAAAAATCTGCTTAGTACTCTGCTGGAAGCAAGATAAAACTAGTGATCGAGAAGCGTAGAGATAAACAAATAGGCTTGTATATTCACGATGTCTCGCATGTTCGAGAGCCCTGTATACATACCAGCGCAGTCCTCGTTCACACGCACTCATCACATCACCGTTGGAGTTCTTCAGGAGGGCCATGTTAATGCGAAACAGCATTCATCCTATAGTTAGCAGATTACTCATAATACTTAAATCCCCGGAAGTCGGAAAATTCTAAGGCTATGTTGTCATGCACACCACCTGTTCTTTTTTTTCGTGGAGTGCTACCCTAATATTATGAGCACGTTAGCACAACAGCTAATAATTAGAAGCTAGCTTTGCATTACGAAGGTCCTAAAACAGTGCGGAGGACGATTACGAAAAGAACATGAACGAAAGTATACGGAAGCGCTGTGGTCGCGTTGTCCATGCGGGTTTTCTCATTACATACTCGTCATGTAGCATCTTCACCATCTCTTCAATTACTCATCGTAATCTCACAATAGGTCGACGAAATCGGCCACTTCCTATCTGACGCAAGCGCACGTCACTGTGACAACGTGCTGTTGGAGTGCCTACACGGACAGGCCAACCACTGTGCGACATACCGCCCAGCTCGGGCACGTGTTGACAATGAGAATTGTACCACGTTCATGAATACTTGGAAGTGGGAATAAATTGGAAGATTTCATCTTTGCACAAGTAACTTTCTCATACATCATCTACTTAAGTTTCCTAGGGAATGAAACGAGTATCATTTCTCGCTACAAACGAACATGAGCAAATCTTAATACTTCACGTAAGTTTCTCTTCATCATAACATTCGGTGAGGATTTATACCTGGTTTGCTTTTTTTTCTTTATTCACACTTCTAACCTTGCCAGTTTCGTAAACGGCCACGCCGATCATTCTCCACATTGACCACCAAATCACCGACCAATCAGTTGGTCCATTAGGAACGTAAATGCACCGAACAGCGTTTCCGACGCACCCTGGCCCCGTCCCGCCCACTGAAAAGTGTGTCACCGTTCCCCCCAACTCGATGGTACACACAACACTGCTGGCGCTCGGTAATTCGCGATCTGTGTACACATACTCCCTACTCGTGCTGCGCTTCATTAGCGTTCACTTTTTAAGGCCCTGCGCGGCCCTGGATTGAACGCAAGTGAACAAGTGCCGCAGGCGAAACAAATGATCGCGCAGCGAAAGAGCCTGTTTCCCTGCGCCTCGCGCGAAGGCAAACGAGGCGGGCCCGGC